CCCCCCCCCCCCCGCCGCGCCGGCCCGCCGGGTTACCGTGGGACATCGCAACATATCACAAACCTTGACTTTTACCCTTATGAAAATACATTAGAACTAGAGAATGGCATTGAACATTTCTAGTTTTGTAGAGAATTCAACGGCGCATCTTTTGCAAAAAAATTAAGCCATTTATTATTTGTTGATGAAAAGATATGTGCAAAATACATGATGTTGCAATCATTATGTCTCACCCGGTAGGTTGTTCCAACGTCGTTATTGCATTGAGGAGTATGTTTCAAAATCTGCAACACCATTAGTACATCCTGACGATTGTCAAGAGAAATACAAAAATATTTCCACAGATCATGCAAAATGGTAAGCGAGTTTTGACTTGTCTAAGATCTTTTTTACTTCAAGTCGAATTTATTTCATGTCCTAGGTGTTAAATTGACAATGATATTGACAAAAAAGTTAAATGAAACGCTTTGCATAGGTCAATATCATCAATCAAAAATAAAAGTCTGAGAGAAAAAATGACTTTGTAGTTTTTCGTTTAATTTTTGGTATCTGCCAAAGACATTTATTTAAAGTTCGAGCAGACGTTTTAGAAGTCAATGATTTTATCAGTGAAAATGAAGTGAATGTCCTTCGACCAGTCGTAATCTGATGAGAAAACATTAGTCTAAAGTATTTCCTTCAATGCTTTAAATGTGGTAGTTTAAGTTTATTAATAAATACGAAACTATTCGCAGAGAAGTTATTAGCGATCATTCGTACAGCAAGTTTATGAAAGCTTAACTTACACTCCTGGTTGGCAAAGGCGCTCGTACGTAAACATGAAAACGTTAATAATTGAGTTCTGTTGGGATAAATTATTGAAAGATCAGAATTCTGAGTAAAATGTTTGGGTTTCGTTTTCTCATGTCAAATTACAACAGCAAGCATTCGTTTAATAGTTCAACTATTTCATATATAGAGGATCTTATTGCAGTAACAAAACAAGCGCTTTTTCCAGTAGAATTACATAGTTAACAAAGCAACTCTAATCATTTGATCCGATAGTTTGTACGTTTTAAGTTCATTCTCATAGTTTACCAATCCGTCTTACTGAATTCTATAATATTCTCTGAAATTCTTCTACAAACAAATCATCAGCTATATTACACATATCCTTTGTAGTATTGGTCCGTCTGAGTTTGCCATTCAACCTATTATGTTACCTAGAACGATACAAGAGCTTGTTGACAAACATAATGAATATCGTTCAGCTGTTGAAGCATCTAATATGTTAAAAATCTACCATGATCCGCTATTAGCAGATATGGCCCAAACTCACTGTAATCTATGTTCATATGATTATGGGCTAGCTAAGAATCGTATTATACCAGAATATGGCTGGAAAAATGGTCAAATTATGCTACTCACCATGAACTTTAATGAAAGTGCTGCAGATCTGCTTTCAACATTACTCGATGGACAACAACAGCTATTTGTCTATGGACAAGGTTGCATTGGGTTTGAACTGTTCTGCCATGAGTATACACTAGCAATGTTAGCCGGGGTTAACCGAATAGGTGTGGGTCAAACAGATTGTCTATTTCAAGATGCAATTGCTAAACTTTACTGTATCAATTATATTCAAGCGCAATATACGGATAGTTACACGAAACCTTATAAACAAGGTAAAAGATTGGATGAATTTAATTAAGCATAATAGCTTTTAATGTCTTGACTAAGGAATCAACTGAAATGGAAGCATTCGAGATAGACGTACATGCCAATGTTTTCTAATGATCGTTTTAAATGATGCTAGAACTACACAACTAGTAAACGTCAGTCTTTGCAGTAACCAGGCGTGCCATAATAACGATCGTAAAATATCTATAATGAGAGTACGTCAGCTAACTTAGATGATCGTTTACGATTGTTTAGCAAGAGTTAAGTATAGTTAATTAAATAAAATTTCTTTCTAATCTATTTTAGGTGCTCGTTGTTCTGAATGTCCAGATAATTGTGATCGAAAATTGATGTTGTGTGATTGTAAAGATAAATTATGTCCAAATGGACAAGTGCTCGATCCTTCTACATGTAATTGCATTCTGTCAAGTAGACCTGTAACACAACTTCAGGAAGATATATCAATAAGCCGGATGAAACTACTGTATGATGTTCGGACATTGGATGACCTCGGACAACAATAGAAACGTGTATTTTACCTCTGTTTTTCCGAAATTTCAGGAACACTTTTACATAGTGAGGCGAAGAAGGTTAAGAAATGATTTGAGTCATGACTTTCGATTGTAATACATATCCTAATTTTGTTATTATTATTATTACTGATATCTCTGTGATATAGGAAACAGAAAGGATTCATGGCGATGGCTATTTCAGAAACACAATAACATCATCGTGAAATTATACACAGCTTTAATGCGTTCTGATGTATAACTAGATGGGTGCTATTAGATAGTATGATGGTTATTGATTAAAAAAATGTCTAACGCAAAATACTTGTTTGTATCTAAGCAATGCCCAGAATCGAAAAGATGTGATACTAACACTCTAGTATCCATCTCGATAAGTAATGGGAAAAAAGAGATGAACGTAAAGTTACAGTTAGCTAGAAAGCTTGACGTCTGAAGCATTAAAAAAATCTGGTACCATTCAATTTATCTAGATTACCGAATTTTTACTCAATTGCAATTATGTTGCAACGGGAGTGGAAATCTTTCGTAGTTTAGCCGTCGCATAGGATTGTCTAAGAGTCTAAGGATCACTATTTCTTTAGATGTGATAATTCCGACAACGAATACAAACATAGCTAAGCGATGACGCTGAATCTCGTGGCAACATTTGTTTTTCAAAAGAGTTCAGAAACCTAGTGAAAATCTATATTAGTGGAAATAACACATTTTTACCTATTTCCGCTGCTCTACATGTTCTTTTACTTGCGAATAGTAAAAGGCATTCTTGTACTTCACAAGAGTTCTAGAAACCTTTTCAAAATCCAAAGTACTTTTTGTTGATTTTGAACTGCATAGTATTCGGCAGGTGAAATAGGGTACATGTTGATATTCTGACATAATGCGGATGGATCTTGACCGAGTTATGAATGTTTTAGTTTTATTCAAAATTAGAGGGAAATGGATTATTTCAGCTAATGTAGGTTGTCACTAGGTTTCTGGAACGTTCTTGAAAACAAATGTTGTCACGAGGTTCAGTGCCATCGATTACCTATGTCTGCATTTGTTATCGGAATTACCACATCTAAAGAAATAGTGATCCTGGGATTCTCAGGCAACCCGATGCCACGCATAAACCACGAAAAACTAAGTGTTCGCTTAGTTTCTGTTTTAAAGAAGACGCTTTGGACTATGTATCTCTGAAAAAGGATCGACCTCTTACCAAATACTGGCGAGTGCTGGTAAATACTCGTACTCGAGTACAACTTTTCGGATACTCGTACTCACGACTTTTCCTAAGCAATACTCGAAGAAGTACGTGAGTACTCGATCGAAAGCCTTTATAATCAATCTACTATGGATTGCCAAGAAAAACAGTAATTTCTATTCTAGAATTCTAGTATAATTCTGTGAGATACTCACCCATCTCTGCCTTTTACTATGCCAGTTTTCAGGGATCCAAACTGGATTTTCAAAGGTCTGCTCAAAACTCGTTTCGGAAGTTTTTTAAAAAAATCGTTTTTCCTTGTGGAAAGCTAGCATCAGGCGCCTATTTTTGGTTGCTAAAGGTTGCAACGCTCTATCTTACGCTTTATTGAGCTATTAAAAAACAGCAGCCTGCACTGTATTTTAACGCGGATGGTAGTTACACATGCAGATGCATCTAGTTAACGGTGCCTTTTCCAACTAATAATCTAGGTGACAAATAGTTGTGTATCGCCCGATTACAGACGAAATGTGTTAGAATGTTATGACTACCTAACTTGCTCAAATCTTGACTTGTATATACAACTGGTTTACTAAGAAAGAAAAAGCACTCTTATTCACTCACCACTCACCACCAGCACTCTTATCTCTAGTACAGTATATGCCTGGATATATATAGGCGAGAAAGAAGGAAAGAAACAACGCAACAGGAAAACATGATGTAATATAAACAGTGATGTAATATATACAATGGTGTCACAGGATGGCATGATAAGATAGTGACTATATGAAATACATTTCCTGGAAAAGAAATTTGTTTCTTTTATATAATCACGCAGTAGTACACTGACGCTGTAGTATCTCTGTCCATTTTAGGTTTCGGGACCTAACACCTCATCCACCAAAAAAGATGAACTGCTACGTTAAATAGCTCTCACAAGTCTTTTTGTTATTCAATGTTCCAGCACTGCTACCACTCTTATCATTGAGCAAACATTTTCAGGTGAAAATAGTTGGTTAACTGATGTGTCTTGTGATATTACACTATGGTTGTTCTCTACCATTTTAATATTATAACTATTGAAGTTAGATCAATCCTTCATGAAGCTGCCACCAGTATGATTCATTAGACCAATACCACTATTGCTCAGCTAAATTAGTTTCATCACTTTTGAAACACCTAAATACATAATTATGTGGATAACTGTGGGTCCGTAAGCAGTTAAAATGTTATGACTAACGTTCATGGACTGGTGCCAAATGGCTAGCGTGGACTGTTTGATGGAATTTTGATTCTAAATCTTCAATGAGATAATTTGAATGTTGCACCTGAATCACAATATAGGGACCAGAATAAAATTCCTCCATCTTTGATTTACGACTTGTATTTTTAGAAAAAACGTAATCGCCGGGTAAAGAGCGAGGATCATTTCGGCCGTTGTCATATCGTTGTTTCGCGTAATGCTGTGTACTTTTGATGTTTGAACGTGCGGTTTGTTGATAAATCCATAATAAATGCTGTATTTGGATCCAATAATCTGATTGTCGGTTCATGATGAGCGGATCCTTTCGTGGGTCGAACGGTAGAGTTGCGTGGCAACCATACATTAATTGAAAAGGTGTAAACGTGGTGGATGCATGTTGCCCGGTATTGTACGCGGATGGGATAGCTGGTAAAGATTCAGCCCAGTCATTGGTGTTTTCTGATTGTAATTTTGCCAATTGTGGACGAAAATTAGCGTTAAACCGTTCGACCTGGCAGTTCGTGTGTGGATGATAAGGAGTTGATTTTATGTGATGAAAACCTATCTGTGCCGCTAGTGCTTTGAGGAGATCGTTGTTGAAATGGACAGCATTGTCTGTTATAAGACGATGTAGTACGCCATATTTGAAGATGAGTTCATCAACAAGGATCTGGGCGGTTGTTTGAACAGTATTGGTTCGTGTTGCTTTGGCTATGACAAATTTGGACAGATAGTCGGTAATAACTAGCACGTAACGGTTATCGTTAGTTGTTGTTGTTGTCGGATTCCAATAGTCCATACCGAGTATCTCCACAACGCCTTGCAGTGGCCCGATCGGTAAAAGTTTTCCTGGAGTATTTGCGCGATGAATATTAAATTTTGCACATTTTGTACAAGAGGCGATATAATTATCGATGGATGATTTCATTTTAGGCCAGAAGTAGCGAGTTTTTAATTTCTAATATGTGCGCTTGGTACCAAAATGACCAGCCGTCGGATGATCATGATACGCGTCCAATATCTCGGTTACTAATACAGGTGGTACATACAAACGCTTGTGATTTGTATTTCGCCGAGTTGGTAGAATTTTGTATAAAACCTTGTCTTTAACGATTAATGTAGGATTAGACGAAGGATCGGTGAGTATTTGTTGGATGGTTTCATACAGTGCAGGGGCGCTATGTTGAGTTCGTTTAATTCGATCGATACTGAAATCTGGTGGAAGAGACGAGGTGGGGTGGAGGATAGCAACAGGTGGTGTATGACAGGTCGCTGTTGGTGTCGAGGCTGTTGCTTTTGTCAAAGAGCGTGTAGTAACATTTAACTAAGGAGGTGATGATGATAAGTTGGGAATCATGAGTGTTGCTAGTATGTAAGCAAGGTCACGTCGGCTCAGTTTTCTTCAAAGATGAATCACACTCCCACATCCAAAAGCAAAAAACAGCTTCGAAAATTGATAACTCGGAGAGACTTTGTTCAAAAATATATTATTAAATAAAATAATGAATTTAGTTGAGTTAGTCGTACAAATATTATTCACGTTTATCAACGTTTTCTCAACAAACAATATTAGTGTTGATTTTACACCCAGAATCAGAATGTGCGAATAAAATAGAGTATTTCCTGACATTCTAAAGTAGGTTGGACGGATTCTGACTGAGTTATTCAGAGAACTGACTGGTTTTTCACAGGTCTTCTGAAAAATCGATCTTTGAAATTTTTTTTTAATTCGTTTTTGCTTATAGAAACGTAGCGTCAGGCCTTGGCTATCGAATGATGAAAACCGCAGGGCTCTATCTTTTATTACTTTTGAGTTATTCAAAAAATAACCACGTGCCTTGTATTTTGGAACGGATAGTAGTATAGTTCATCTGAACCGCAGTTACATAGTTAAATTTACTTATTGAAATATTCAGTTTTTGTAAACGATACGTAATTTCCATCTGGATGAATTCCATATGGAGGCTTCCATGATATCCAAAATCGTTGTGGCAGCATGGAAATTATGTGTATTAGATTAGAACAGAAAGAATTGTAAGCTTTTAATCCAAACTGTAGTTCTGTACCTATTACGAGAGCGAAGAAACTAGCAATAGCAACTAACTATACAAAAATGTCAAAGTATTGAAGCGGGTTAGCGGTCGTTGCAGCTAGCTGCATAAGCGTACATGTCATGGAAAGGGCGCTATAGCGGTCGCTTAAGCTAGTAACGAATTGGCTAACACCATTTTCAACTAGTTGAAGCTAGTTGGAAATCGCATACAGTAACTTGTTTTTCCACGAAGAAAGCATTTCTCAAAGTTGAATGTAGAGACAATAGTATGTAAAATTTAATTTCCAGCACTTTTTGTCGTGGCACAAATTTGGGAAAAGCTTCCCTCATGGTGAATAATCTTAATTACACTAACCTAATTTAAGTTTTTAGTATTTTGTCATAAGAAAAATTTCGTTTTGCACTTAGAGTAAGGCACTTTCGATTTCGATTAATTGAAACCGGTGCATGCCTAGTACGGTCCTGTTTGACGGTTTCGCAGAATACGGTTGAACGTTTTTTCTCTGATATAAAATCGATATTCGTTTTATAAGCTACGGATTTGTTTTAGAGAGTAGTGAAGTTAGATAAAAGGAAATTTCAGTTCTTAAGTCCCTGTTCTTCCCGAGTCATGAAACTTTTAGTGTTCTGTAGTTGCCTTCCTAGGACAAAAACAAAACAATTGATAAATTTCGAAAGAAGTGCTACGGGGATAAATTAGTTTACCATTTTTACTAGGACACTCTTCTCTATCCATGGGCATAATATCATTCAAAACGGAGAGTATCATCCAGGAAGGTTTGTATTGACTCTGTAGCTTTTTAATTTTATGTTGTGTAATAAAATAATATATTGTGTAATTCGATACATTAAGTATTGAAAATGTCAAGCAAATCTATCAAAAAACATGGTCTTGTCGCATTAAACGAATGGAAAATACGATCGAAACAAAAGTGTCCGATTTTATCTAACGAGGGGACCTATGGAGATGAAGCACTCCGATTTCGTTCGTTCTTGCGTGGATCGATAGGGCATGTGGAATGGGTAAAAAGCCTAAGAGGGTTCGGGCGGAGACTTTTCCCTTGGGGAGTTATGAGCATTTTACGCATTTTCTCACGTCAGCGGAAAACAGGCAAAATTAAAATCTGTTCTCCCAAATTCACTTCGATGACTCGATATGCGTGGTATCAGAGACCACTATCATTAAAGTGTAGATTTTTTTCTCTCTTAGTTTCTGTGAAGTCCTGTTACTGTTACCTTAAGGCTCGTGATTCGAACTCGAGTTTGTAAATCATCAAGGAATAAAAATGACGAAAGTCAAACAGATTTGAAAGTGTAAGACAGACGAAGCAGTGTTCTCATGGCGTTTCCTTGCCTTTATGGAAAGTTCTGCCTCTGAGTGAGAGAAAGTGGTAGAACTCTGAAACTTGCAGGATATGAAGACAACCTTTATCACCACCACCAAAAAAACTTTCAGCCCTCTACGACTTTCTTGGACAGAGTTATGATTTTTTTAATTTTGCCTGTTTTCCGCTGACGTGAGAAAATGCGTAAAAATGCTCATAACTTCCCAAGGGAAAAGTCTCCGCCCGAACCCTCTTAGGCTTTTTACCCATTCCACATGCTCTATCGATCCACGCAAGAACGAACGAAATCGGAGTGCTTCATCTCCATAGGTCCCCTCGTAAGCCATCCCGTAGACAGGCTTTTACAGATTTTTTTCACACAAACCATCGTTGTGAGATGAAATCGACAATAGGCTTTTTAATGTTTTTTTTCCCTGATGCTCAACAATATGCGGTTTTTAAACTCAGCAGTTGCTTTCTACATGCTGTCTCCATCTTCATAGTCATTGTTTTCTCCCATCTTCATATCCTTGCTCATTATAAACACTGCTCTGCTGCATACAGAGAAAACATTTCCTGACTAATAGGTAAACGTTCCATGATGTACAAAATCGTTGTGGCAGCATGGAAATTGACGTATTATTAGATTAGAACAGAAAGAATTGTAAACTTTTAGTCCAAACCGTAGTTCTGTGCCTATGACGAGAGCAAAGAATTTAGCAAAACAGTTTTTCATCAATTCAGCGTTAAGATTGCTATTTTCCAGCTATGTTCACCTAACTTATCATACCTTTCCTGCCTCTCTTGCCGGTCAGTGATATTTCCTTAAAAAGATATGAGGTTCTCAGCTTGTGCACGCTTCCTCAACTATAAACTGAACGTTTCTTTTTTTCAGACGAAGAAAATATTGCCTAGAGTTTGGAGACGTCTCATTTTGCAGAGAAGGTGTGATCTACCTTTCACACATATGTGCATTAAACAAATTTTTTGTACAAGAGTTGTAGTCAGAGCTAGGACCATGAGATTTTTAGCACTTTTTTAAAAAAAACACTTTTTTTTGACATATTTCATAGATTCTGAGTTAATCTGTTAAATAAAAGAAATTATACTGCTGATCGGAAAGACCCGAGCAAAAATCACCTATGGGAAAATCTAGATACATTTTGTCGGTAATCGGCCGATGCACGACTAGTTGTCATCTAGATTACTGGTTGGAAAAGGGACTTTTAACTAGATGCGTCTACATGTATAACTAGCAATAGTTAAATCGATAGCTGCATTGAGGAGAAATCTAGCAATCACCCGATTATTAGATTTTCATTGTCGTTACCAAATAAGTGCAATCGAGTAAAACTCTGGTAATCTAGATGAATCGGGCGACAGTAGATTGTTTTTATGCGTGGGGAGAGGGCAGGAAAGATATGATAAGTTAGGTGAACATAGCTGGAAAATAGCAATCTTAACACTAAATTGATGAAAAACTACCCTGCTAGTTTCTTCGCTCTCGTAATAGGTACAGAACTACAGCTTGGATTAAAAGCTTACAATTCTTTCTGTTCTAATATAATACACATAATTTCCATGCTGCCACAACGATTTTGGATATCATGGAAGCCTTCATATGGCCTTGATTCGCGGATAAGAACAGGCGATGATCATCCCATTTCTTGTCTGACATACATATACGTCGTTCTTCTTATCAAATATGTAGCTGACGATGACTCTAGTCTGACGAGGGAACCTCGCCAACTGATACACTCCGTTTGAGCTGATATTTTGCTCATAGGTAGGAATCATAGTGTAAATAAAAGCTCTAAAAGGATTCGTCCCACTAGCTTGTTCCTGGCGAGATATAGAATTTTTAGTGATTTTTTCCTGCAGGACCCCAGTTTTCCAGCCAAATCATATCTTGAAATTTCGACCTCAAAATTTTCCCGAATGAAATTCTCCACTAGACTAGCTTTCTTAAAAGATTTCAGAATTTTTGAACAAAGTCTCTCCGAGTTATCGATTTTCGAAGCTATACACGCTTTTTCATTGATAGTGTATAAAACATACATCTTTTGAAAAATTCATAACTCGGAGAGACATTGTCCAAAAATTCTGAAACTTTTATGAAAGCTAGTCTAGTTTAGAACTTCATTCAGCCAAGGTTTCAGGTCGAAATTACAAGATATGGTTTGGCTGGAGAACTGGGGTTCTTCAGGGAAAATTCAGTAAAAATTCAGCAGTTACAATTTATTACTCGATAAATAAATTGCAGCCATTTATTAATCCCTAGCATAAATGGCATAGCCATTTATTACTCTCCAGCATAAACGGCTCTTTCTCTGCATAATTTGTCTGTTCGGTAGGGTTCTCTGGCATAAATAGCTAGTTTCTAGCATAAATGGCTTTTTTCCAGCACGTTTGTATAAAAAAACAGCAACTTTTGATATAAAGGAGTCACTTATAAAGAAAGGGTGTCCTAAGGTAGCTGAAACACTGATTTCGAAAAGCAGATATAAACTGCAAAAAGTTCGAGTATAAAAGTAGCCTGCTTTATGAAAT